TTTTTTGACTCTCTTCTGATACCACCTTGTTTGATTTATTGCTTGGTCAAGGTCCAGGATCCTTGACTCATCCCTGCGGCTTGGTGGCAACAGGATATAGGAGGAGACTTTGTATTGATTGGTGGTGGCGGAAGTCTCCTCAGATGATCCACATCATTTGCCTTTATAGCGAGATTGATTTCTTCTTTGTCTTCAATGGGCAGACTATCCAATTGTGGTTTGATGATTACGACCGTGCTTTCCCCCATGGATGAGTCTTCAGTGTCACTTACCAGAAGTTCATCCCAACTCTTTTGGCTCCAACTATCCTTCGGGCAGAAAAAGTCGCACCCATCAAGTAGGGAGTCAAAGAAGGTTTGGTCTGAATCTTCAGATGAAGCATTATCTACACAGGTTTCTATAAACGGAGTTGGCTTTTCCATGCAAAGTAATTCCTCGTCTATAGATTCCTGCTCAGACACTTGGACATTGGTATCTTGGGGGCAGGTAACGGGCTCTACTTCCTCCAGAACAGGTTTCTCTCGAGGTGTGTGTTCAACACAATTAAGGAGATGGTCGTTTATTGCTAGAGGCAAAACTTCCTCCTCCTTTTCTTGACTAAGCATAGGTGGTTCTAAGTCAGTTCCCTCAGTTGGTTCCACCTTTTGTACGACTATGCTGGCTAGGACTTGGCTAGGCATCACCACAGTAGCCCTAGCGAGAGTTGTTATGCTCTCGGGTTTCTGTGGTAGTGTTGGTCTGGGTGAATCTTCTAGAACTGGAACCTGATGGTTAGATGGTTCAGGGTTGGTCTTAGGTTCTAGAGCCTCTTTTTGAACATTAATCTCCCTCATTTGATCTTGAGATTGGAGGGAGCGTTTAAGTTCAACAGCCTTGCAGAGATCATTGACTAATTTATCGGCTTTAGACTCAGCTTCTAGTCTTTCTCTTTGAAAGTCGTCCAGCATTTTCTGCATCATCTCTGATCCTTCGCATAATCTCCTCTCGAACTCCTTTTCCTTCCGGACTGATTCAAGAAGTTTTGCTCTTTCTCGAATTGCCACCTTGTTTGCTTCAATTTGCTCTTCAGCAAACAAAGTGTAGTCACGGGAGTAGGGTGGTTCGTATCAAGAGCCTTCAGCAAATAGAACTTCGTCGAGATAGAAAATTTTCTATTCTAATCTTATTATTTCTTCGACGAAGGGATCAGGTTGGTTGTCAGACATAGGCCCATTGTGGTCAAAGTCATCTTGGTCTCCATGGGGTTCATAACAATTATCCCCATTAATGTCTTGGTATGGAGAATATCCAAAATTCCTAGACGGGGTATCATATGTTGGTTCCTCATGGTATGGATAGTAGTCAGACCCATTATCGACTTGGTAGTCATCATCACATGGGTTCTGATGTGGGTGGTAAGGTGAATGGGTTTGGTACGGAGGGCGGTTGGGTGAATGGTAGAAAGAAGGCGGACCGTAATAACCACTGGGGTTATCCATAATAATTATTACGGGTGGTTGGTGAAAAGAAGTGAGAAGATCGTTCTAACCAATCTTCACCCAAGCTAATCAGAAGAAATTAAAATAATCCCGTGCCACTCCCCGACAACGGCGCCATTTGACAGTTGTAGTTTTTCGGGTAGTAAACCTTCCCAGTAAAGGGTTAGTTTTCTCTCCGAGTGTCGTATCTCTCGAGGAGTGGACGAAGGGAATTAGTTTAATTACTCTAATTAGGCGAAGATTAGGATTGGTTTATGAAAGTCTTCTCAGAACGATTATAAAAAGAGCAGAGTAAAAATAATAAATTAATTAAGTTTACATAGTTTAAGTATAGATCTGGACCTAGGGTCTGGACATCATTTGGATTTATTTTATCATATTAAATTAACAATTGGAATAATAATATTTCTATTACTACTCATCCATTTCTAGATTTGTACTTAATCCGTTGTACTTGAATATCATAGCCTATTGGCGTACAATATTTTCTCAATAAATAGCTAATTAAATCTTTCGATAATAATTAACTAAATAAGGCAAGAACAATAGATTAACCATTCCAACATTAACTTAACATA